CTACCTATGCGCGCTACATGTAAACGATATTCTTTGTTGTATTTTGCTGTCAAAATAACGGAGTTCTTTTGGAATTCTTCAGCGTTTAAGAACTGCCGCCTTCTCCGGGAGTGGGCGGAACTAATGTGCAAACGGCAATCTCATTGGCTGGCGCTCACCTATTATCGTCCCTGTTTTGATTAGTGCGTTTTATATTGTTCTTATTAATGCGTATTATTATAATCTTATCAGTATTTTTGAATTCCCCCCCCAATTTTTTTTTTTTTAAATTTTTTTTTACAGAAACACTGAATGACCAAAAAAGTACACAGCAAGGCTGATAGTAAATTCAGTTTTTAATTACTGTTGTTATATTTTTCCTGTTTGAGAATGTATTTATGTATTTAATGTTAAGTATTTTAATTTTATATAATGTCTGTTATGCTGTAATAGTTACACTACTATTCAAAAGTTTGGGGTCAGGAAAATGTTTTTATTTAAGAAATTAACACTTTTATTGAGCAAGGAAGCATTAAATTTATCAAAAGTGACAGTAAAGACATTTAGAATAGATTTCTGTTTGAAAAATGCTGTTTTATCATTCATTTCTATTCATCAAATAATCCTGGGTAGAAAAAAAAGGTTTCCATAGAAATATTAACCAGCGCATCTGTTTTCATACATTTTAAATTGTAATAATATTTTTCAGTGTTACAGTTTTCACTGTATTCTTGATCAAATAAAAGCAGTCTTGGTGAGCATAAGAGACTTCTTTTAAAATAATTTAAGATTTAAGAATCTTACTGATCCCAAACCTTTAAACAGAAGTAGTAGAACAGTAGTATTTGCAGTCATTTATTTCTTTATTTTGCATTCAATAGTTTTTCTATGCAATCACTGACTGTCACTGAGACAAGTGGGTGATTATGTATAAGGAAGCATTAAATTGATCAAAAGTGACAGTAAAGACATTTAGAATAGATTTCTGTTTGAAAAATGTTGTTTTATCATTCATTTCTATTCATCAAATAATCCTGGGTAGAAAAAAAAGGTTTCCATAGAAATATTAACCAGCGCATCTGTTTTCATACATTTTAAATTGTAATAATATTTTTCAGTGTTACAGTTTTCACTGTATTCTTGATCAAATAAAAGCAGTCTTGGTGAGCATAAGAGACTTCTTTTAAAATAATTTAAGATTTAAGAATCTTACTGATCCCAAACCTTTAAACAGAAGTAGTAGAACAGTAGTATTTGCAGTCATTTATTTCTTTATTTTGCATTCAATAGTTTTTCTATGCAATCACTGACTGTCACTGAGACAAGTGGGTGATTATGTATTTTTGGACAAACATCAACTATTTGTGATGTTGGTTTCGTTTATAATGCTTCTAGAAGTGATGAGGAGCTACCTGATGATTCTGTTGGATTCATCTGGGTCTTGGTCTTGGAAATCTCCCAGCTCACCATGCCCAGCTTCCAAAAGAGCAGCGGAGTCTACAACCAGAGACTCTTCCATGTCATCGATAAGTGGACTATGTCTGTCCCCGTCATGGTCATCACAACCCTCTTCCATGACCACATCTGATTCAGCACCAGGACTCAACAGATCTATGAGCCATGATAAGAAAAGGATTGGAACGAACAGGAAAGCAAACCAAGACAAAGTAAGTCACGTGATGCATAATGTGTGTAAAAAGCTGTCAGTTTAACACCACCAACCATAGAAAGCAGAACTTGAAAATGAGCAGTTTCAAATTTCCATTCAGAAAAGTACTGTCAGTAATATTATATTAGAATATATAATATAAATAGGGAATATTATATTAGGGTCCCCATTGCAGGTATAACATTATGCTCTTTAGCTGTTGCATCAGATTTTATGCTTACTGTTAATGTACAGAAATAAATTCCATTTGTATTGCTCTGGTATTATAACAAATAATATAAATGATTGAGAATATCAATTTTTGCTTAACTATTTTAAGTGATATAAACAAACCAATTTAGTCGTACAACATTACCCCAGTTTTGTCATCTGAGCACATTATGCTACGAATGAAGTATGATGTTCACAATGCGTTTAAGGTTCAGTTGGATAAATATGGTCGTTTTTGTCATCAAATTGCAGTGTTGATCATTGAATCGCATGGAGTCACTAAAGTTAGACTTGCCTCCGTTTCTTGACACCTCTCCAAGGCAGTTGTTTGGCACTTTGGGTGCACATCGTTTATGGCAGTTGAATTTGCAATCTGAGACAGTGTGAGGGAAAAGAGAGTAGAGAAGAATGACAGAGAGAGGGAGAATGAGTTAAAGGGGGGAGTGAGGGAGAGAGTTTACTACCAATCTGGCACATAAACATATGAGTTCCTGTTGTGCTGGTGGCTGACAGGCTGAGACCTCGCACATTGAACACATGAACATTAAAGCTGTTTGTAACAGCCCAGCCAAATGCACTCTTTACTGCTTGGCACGTGGCATATACTCCTCTTACACAAACACATTGTATATAAAAAGCAGCTGTTGTGTCACTTTATATTTGTGCTCTGTTCTAGATAACACAAAAGGATCAACAAATTCTGTGATCTGTTACTGATAGTTGCGGTGTTATCAGAACGTAGGATCTGTAAAGCAAGCAACAATACATTACATATTAGCACCTAATGGACTAAGAATAGACTATGTTTTGAAAAAATAGTATACTATGCATGCATACTATTTTATAGCATATACTATGTACTACTGTGCAGCAGATTTAATTTATGCATGGAATTCTACATTTCAGCTACTACCAGCCAATACACAACCATAACCACAAGTGCTGTCTCCCACAATGCAATGCATTAAACTAGCACCCTTTTCAAATTTCCAGGGTTCTCAGAAGCAGAAAGTCATAACTTCTATAGAGATAAATGGAAACTACAACAAATATAATTTTTGCTTAACCAATTGCTCCAATAGCAAATGAAAAAAATCCATGATAACTTTTTATAACCTTACAAAAAAGGAATTTATTTCCACCATGCATTAAACCAATTTAAACATGCACTGAACATGGTGAAGTATCTTTGTGACAGAAATATTAAGCCGGATGCTATTTCAAATGCAGCCAATATTTGCAAAGAGCCTCATTATCTGTCTAACACAGTGCATCATTCATATAATAGCAAAGCGTCATATCTGCTGGAGAAATTATAGTGAATATTATATACTTATATACATATATAATATATACATACTTATATACTTATCATAATTTGTGTAATTAGTTTTAATGGATATTGTGAATAAACTGCAATGGTTTCTGGACAAAGTAATGATTCACAGCAATTAGTAATCATTTTCCAATGGCTGCTCAGATGAGTTAATACAGTTTTATTACAGAGAATCAGCATTACACGGAAACATCAGGATCAGAGGGGATTTAGACGAGGCACATTATTATACGAAGCAACAAGATACTAAAACAATTACTGTATGACAATAAAGGGTAATATTTTCAAGAGGATCATTCTACAACCGTAGCTTGAAATATTGAGGGTAAGCTCGTACCTTTGCACTGTAGTCCCTGACGGAACAGACCCTTGAGGAGCTTCTTGCAGTGCTGACAAACGGTGGGGCGTGTGTAGGAATGAATGACAAATGTGTGTGGCACCTTCACTTTAGACAGCAGGATCTTGTCTAACTCTATTGGCCGACCTATATAGGACTGAGAGTTGGAGCGGCCTCTTCCAGGAAAAATGTCTGATGGAGTTTTTTGCTGTGAACAAATAATGTAGTGTATCGTGATGCATAGGACATCCACACAACACAAGGGCTATGTCACAGGTGTAACAGTGGTCTCAGTACATTGGTATTTTTAATAAATGTCAGGCCAGGGTAAACTGTTGAATTATATTGGGGCAAGTTGTCACACTGTGTTAATTACGATGTTGTTTGTCAAACCAATTGTTCTATATTTTTGTGCACTTCCTTTTACATATTTGCGGTTTTAAGAATTGTTATAGATTTCATAATTGTTTTGCTGTGTGTATTTTTGCTAAAAAGCTTAATATATAACACGTTGTTTAATGGCAGGTTTCATTGTGACAACTTACCCCCATATAGTGTGACAACTGGGGCATGTTGTCACAAAACCAACTATATATTTTTTTCCTGAGCAATAGAAGTTTTATTGTTCAATAGATTTTAGCCAAGACTTTAAGGTATGTATTTATACAGAAATTATCTTCCAAAAAATAAACCCACCCTGAGAACTATTCACTGGAGCAAAGTGTGTCACAACTAGGCTGGTCAAATTTGATTTAATTAGCTATAATTTCATTTTTGGATGAAACCTGTGACTGCTTTTTCGGCAGTCATTACATTTTGCAAATGTTAAATGACTATTATCAAAAGCAAAGCAAAAGTATTCATTTGTCACACAAGCTCACAGATACTAACCCGAGCCAAGTCAGCTCCACACTGCTCTCGATTAGGTGAACAAAAAAACACAAGGGCTCTATGAGGTTCATGCTGAGGGAGATTGTTGTATATGCTGAGCTTTGATGAATTTGCATCAACTCAGAACAACAACTTTCTCATCAAGCTGATCTTTAATGTGCTGCTGATTGGCAAAGTTGCAGATGTCTTACCACCTGTAGTGAATAGATCTGACATCACGCAGGTGTGCATAATCAACTATTCAATGTGCTCTAAAGAAGGAAAATTATCAATAGCTTCCTGTTGCCATGTTGTACACTTCACCAAAGGACTTAAGTAGATTCACGTTGAAAGTAAGGCATAGTACAGCTCAGTTCATCTAAAGTACAGATGCAGTTCATTTGCTGTAACCTGTCTAGGTTAGAGAACAGATTAGAGAGCAGTTAACAGATGTTTGATTCCGCCGTCAACAGCCGATTAACAGTTTTCTTAAAACAAACTCTACATGTGCATCACAACATTTCTAGTGTCAGGTTCAAATTGAAGAAAATAACTCTATATCTGACTTTATGAAAATAAGCTTCTAAACAAAAGATCAAACAGATTTCATGTTTTCATATCGCATACAACAGGGGGTGTATGACAGACAAAATATCACAAGGTGGTTAGTTAAAGCTAAATTAGTTTGTGCCTACCTCCATGCTAGGACTGACAGGAGACTGGGCAGGAATGAAAGGATGTGTAGGGAGAGGCAGAGAGAGACAGACAGAGAATGAGTAGTGTTAATAAACAGTACAAGCATGCAGCACTAGCATAGGGTGAACAAATAGGGGCCAAATCTATGATCAGAGCGCAATGTAACTGTTGTATTTGTAAGATTCATATGATTACTATTTTATATCTGAACATTTATATTTGAGTATTGTACTGTATGTTGTAACTGAGGAAGAAGGGAGCATTTGATGCAGTATGGTGTGGATTTTGTCATCAAACTCACCAGTAAAGCTTCATCAGAGGTGCTGGGAGACGGTTCAGCAGACACA